ATCCTCGAATCTGTCAAGCACTTTCCACCCACCTACAAGCAACAGATTTGCATCATCATCAACGAAAAGTCTGGCCGACTGGCGAGGGTGGGGAGTGACCTTATCGCTTGGTTGAATAGCCTGCCAATGTCCGACATCATGGTCTTGAACATGGAGACGAGATAGAACATTGCTTGGGGTATTACGGCACCTGCGATCATTGTTACTTCGAAGACAACCTCCAAGTGAAAAGAGGAAGAACGATGAATTTGAGGCTTTTGCTGCATATGTCCTCGAGGCAGCTGGAATGGCGACGAGAGAAGACCCGGTTTCACGCACCTGAGGACTCTCACTCCTTCCTTGCGCCTTGATAACTCTTGTTTGCCTGTTGCCGTAAAGCAACACCAAGTTGCTACATTCGCCAGGGCCAAAACCGTGTAGGATGACCTGATGCTTGCAAGGAGATACAGTCGCACTTGGCGAAGTTTTGGAACAGCAGCATTCCTCACCCAGTGTCAGGTTCAAGTCAATCTCACGCTCAAACAACTGCCAAGTTTGACCTCCGATGTAGCTTGTATCAAACACGGCAACGTTGAAATAGGCAGTTTCATGATCCATTAGCTTATAGATGATCAAAAGATGCGGTGTGAACTTACTACGATCATTCTCCCTGAACATGACCACCTCCTTGACGAGCACTTTGGACATGAATCGGTAAGTATTACGACTTACGATTAATTCTCGTTCTATAGCATATGGTTGTTCAGGATATACAGGGACTTTTCTCAGTGGTCCATTGCTGATTCCATGGACATACCTAGCCCGGTCCAGGAATTCAAGTAAACGAAGCACCCACAAGGTGGATGTTAGAATCTGCCAGCACAAAGCCATTGCCGTCGACACAGTCCAGCCTGGAGTGAACGTTGTGTCGAGAGAAGCCACGCGTCAAATAGTCACGATGCAACCACGTATTTTACAGACAACTTTTAAAAGTACTGCAAAGAAGCCTATAGTGGAACTTTGTGATCTTCTCTGGCTTTCTGACAGCGGCAAACCACATTACACAGTGGTACTCAATCTCCCGATATCCAGCTCTTTCCAACTTGTTAGATATCATCAACTGAGCTCAGAGTTACAAGTCGAACCAGTTATACTCCTTTGCACGACCAAGCTCTCGCATAGATCGTACTTTGCAGCTGAACCGCAGGAGTGTCAGCATCGTTGTGTTAGCAGTATCCTAACACTAGGATAGTTAGGATTCGTGTGTCAGGATTCAGGAAAAACCTGTTCACGAGAAACGTGTCGCTGCATGTGCATAATATAATAATTAGAAGAGGTTGCATGCTATGTTAATACCAACCATACACACGTGCCACACACTTGGTGCGCGACTTGTTTCAACTAACAGTAGCCAGACGTTCCGCTTCTGTTCCTTGATCCGAAGAACTGCTGATGAGACAAGTAATGGATGGCTCCCGCGTACAGGAAGTACTTAGTATGTGCATGAAGTGTGCAAGAACAGTCGGAGGTGTGGGTTCCACCTGCCTCCGGCAGTGCCACTGGAGCGTAAACGTCAGCATAATAATATGCAGATTGTCTTGAACAGGGTCCGCTGGGATGACAGCTCCACCATAGGTGGGTGCTAAAGCATCTCTGGCCATAAGTGAAGATTCCTGGTGCCTGTCCTCGTGGTATTGTATTGTTTTGTATTTATTCAGAGTGGGAACCAGAGCAGGCAACTTGCCTCCATGTAATGACCATGGCACCACTGTAGAAAAGCCAATGAACAGGAGGTGAACAAAACAGAACAGTCGGAGGTGTGGTTTCCACCTGCCTCCGGCAGTGCCACTGGAGCGTAAACGTCAGCATAATAATATGCAGATTGTCTTGAACAGGGTCCGCTGGGATGACAGCTGCACCATATGTGGGTGCTAAAGCATCTCTGGCCATAAGCGAAGATTCCTGGTGCCTGTCCTCGTGGTATTGTATTGTTTTGTATTTATTCAGAGTGGGAACCAGAGCAGGCAAATTGCCTCCATGTAATGACCATGGCACCACTGTAGAAAAGCCAATGAAGAGGAGGTGAACAAAACAGAACAGTCGGAGGTGTAGGTTCCACCTGCCTCCGGCAGTGCCACTGGAGCGTAAACATCAGCATAATAATATGCAGATTGTCTTGAACGGGGTCCGCTGGGATGACAGCTGCAACCTATGTGGGTGCTAAAGCAACACTGGCCATAAGCGAAGATTCCTGGTGCCTGTCCTCGTGGTATTGTATTGTTTTGTATTTATTCAGAGTGGGAACCAGAGCAGGCAAATTGCCTCCATGTAATGACCATGGCACCACTATAGAAAAGCCAATGCAGAGGAGGTGAACAAAACAGAACACTTCAAGTACAAGAGATAAAAGGAACTCAAAAAGATCGGCATGGCGGAAGGAAATGGTCAAATGATAACAGCAGTTCTGGTTCAGTCCGCACTGCAAGCAACAACAAGAACAGTTGAGGTAATCATACACCATACTTCAGTAATATGATACTCTGGAGAATGAGGTTGAAGACTCATAATATTATTATGATATGATACTAATAGATACTGGCTAGGGCACGAGGGGAACTGGATTGCCGCCAGTAGTCGGCAATTTCTAAAAGGGTCTTCAGCATGGTGAGGCATCGTGTTTCAGCAGGAAGTGCGTTCCAGAGGAACACACCGTTGAAGCTCACTGTGTGTGCAACGATGCCTGAGTGGAGACGGGGTAACTTGAGAAGGTTGGATTGGCCCTACCTCGCGTCTGATTGGCCAAAGGCAAGAATAGATCGGTGAGAAGCAGAGAATAATGTCCTTTCACACCTTTGACCTTTGACGCCCATCGCCGGAGGCGATGATAGCAATGCTACGGCAGAAGCCATAGCAACTTGTGCTGGGATTACACCATTCAACAGCTTGCAAGGCTGAAGAATTGACCGTCACTATTCAGCCTGGTCTACACCATACAGCTATTTGGAGTGACATTTTCTGGCCAGTGAATCCCTTTTTTGGTCTTTTTCATTTTTTTTCCCGCACACACCTTTCACACACACACACACACACACCCCCCCCCCCCCCACACACACACACCCACACACACACCCACACACAAACACACACACACACACACACACACACACACACACACACACACACACACACACACACACACACACACACACACCGCGCCAGACAATAGAAAGCAGTCTCTTAGTATATGTGCACACACACGGTTTGAGTCCAAGCTGAGACAACAAAGGGGTGGTAGGTGTGCGGAAAGAAACATTAAATGAAGCACGTACGGCACGCTTGAGAAGCTTTTAAAGACAGTGACGGTAATGGGTAACTAAGCCAAGGGCAAAACAATTTGAGGCATACATGAAAACAGGTAAAACAAGAGCAGTCAGGTACAGGACACGGCATCGGAGAGGCAAGCAGTTTCTCTTACGATACAAAATAGCAATTCTAGGAGCAGCTTTTCGAACAATTGAGTTCATCATGCTGGACCACTGCTTACAGTGAAACCTGACTAAGCCGACCGCTCAAGGGACCTTCACTGAAACGTGTTCTCTGTTACCAAGTGGTGTCCTTATCAGCGGGCCAGGGTCATTTGAGTAGCATCCATTGGTGCTGGTTGCAGTGGTCTTCTGGGACAGGTGGTCGCCTTGACAGGATTTACTGTATCAGAGTCAATGTATGCACCGAGATACTTGGGGGTAGATACAACATCAGGGGGAACAGTGCCGCATATAACATGGAGGCTGTGATGCTTGTCGTGAGAACAGGGCAAGAACAGGACTTGAGTCTTCTGTGCTTTAAAAGACCAAAGTCTGCAGGTGAATTGTAGCTGTACATAAGTTACGGGGAGAGAGCTTGAACATCCGTGCCATTGCTGTAGACAAGAATGTCATCCGCAAGTCGCGTAATGCTCAAATTAAATACTCAAATTAAAATAATTAACCAAGCTCGGACTCAATGTCACCGACATAGAGTAGGACAAGTAAAGGGCCCAACACTGAGCCTTGCGGCACACCACTTGTGCTCACGATGGGAGGGCTGGTGGCAGTGCAATGGTAACTTTCTGCTCTTGGCTTTTGAAATAATCTGCAGGGCCATAGCCAACACATTTTGACTGATCCAGTTGGACATTTCACCTTTTAAAAAAGGATTTAAAATGCTATGACCAATTCAAGGTAATTCTGCTTATTACTAAAATTAAGATTTTGTCTCCGCGTCGACTATTCGCCATACATGTATAATCCAGGTCCAGGTATACCTACTTTTAAAATTATAAATGTATGTATACGAATAAGCAAAAAAGAACCCTGTAAACGGCTGTATCGTCAGTCTGTCCCAGGGAGTCGTACTCAAACTAGGGAGGTGACACGGCACAGAAATCCGTGTCACAGGGGTTGCCTCGCACACGTTGTTATTTTTGGAATAGTCCATCCAGTCCAGTCCAAAAGGTCATACGCGGATCGACTCGCCTTCTGTACTTCACCTCCAAGCGTGCAACGCAAGACCCGCAAAGTATGATTTTTCTGTGGGGAACGATTTTGCCATTGATCAAGTTTTATTGGCGTGCTCAGGCATATTACGATTGCTCAGAGGTCCCGAGCACGCTTGTTCAGGTTCTCTATTTTTGACGAGCCGGTCCTAAAGCCCCCTACATTGTATCTAACGACATAGGAGCTGACAATGGAAGAGGATTTCCGTGGAAATAATGACGATGTTGGTGTGACTGCTGCAGGAAAAATGCTGGCTGTTTATGACAGTATGACTAGATGCAGGCACACGTTAGAAAGCACAACTTTGACAGCGACAGCGTGACAGCGACAGCGTCATGCGAAACAAAGCCTGTGGCAAGATTGCTATGCATGTGACCTTGACTCGCGGTGTACGCATGACATTCTAAACGTAACAGGGTGTCATAAATATTCTATTTTATTTTATTTTATTTTATTTTATTTTTTCACAAGTTAAGTGAAGTATGTGCTAGTATGTTCGCATGGGATTCTCAACATAACAGGCTGTAATGGATCTTTCAAATTGTCACAAGCTACGTGAAGTATGTATGTTAGTTTGCGCTATAAACAGATTTGGAACTATTTCTTAAAGAGCTTGGCTGTGGTGGTTGAGGCAGATGTTCACACAGGACAGGTGTGATCTGATAAGTACGTAACATCATGTAAGTTAATGGGCATCCATGTGAGATCGGGGCAGGCCGGATTTAATCAGCCGACGCCGCAGCAGAGTGCTCAATGTGCAGAAACGGCAAGAGGACGGTGATGAGTTAGTCGCAACTCACTGTGTTGTATGTGTGGTTACTCAGATTGGATCAGGTTGGACAGCCACTGTTTGCCTCCAGTGGTATTGCATGCACGGGCTGGAACAGATTGTTGCCCGAATGTTGAGCAGTTCGAAAGGTGAAAAACATGTACATGTGAAGCAAAGTGTATGTACTTCTAAATTTCAAATCTGTGCTGTTATCGGGGAATGCATTGGGAAATATCTCAAGGGCAGAAGCTGAGAAAATCTGTGAACGTTGTTAATTGCGGTGTACTTTGCTTCGTATGATGGTGGAGCCGCTCATCAGTTGCGGTCAATTTGTGACAGCAACTCTTGGACAACGCGCTGCATTGACGGTCTCTCCTGCAGATCTGTCTTGATACACTGCTCAGCGATGTGACGATAGCCATAGGGTATGCTTGGTGGAAAGATGGGCTTGGTGCCACCTGCAATTTCATCCAGGATATCGTCAGAGTTGCTGAGGTGTTCATAAGGTATCTGTCGAGTTGAGAGTTCCCACATAACCACGCCAAAGCTGAAGCGAGAGAATACACCATGAGGATATGATAGTTTTCAGCCTGTATGCGCTCCAACACCTGAATTCAACGCACCCTCTGGACGTTCGACAATACTTCGAAATAAGACAATTTTGAGACGGGCTCACACCCCAGTGTATCAACTAACTACTTTCCCATGTCCTGCAATAGTGCTCAAATGCCCGTAATGGGCAGAGCGTAGTACGCATGAGGTAAGGAAGTAAAATAGGGCTGTTTCGTTGTTACTCAGAATTTCATGGCGAAACCAATCATCAGACAACTTGCGTACTTCCCCATGTCTAACCCCAAGATGAAGTAAATACTGTAGTTGTTAATAACTTATCATACTGGCCGAATTACAAAAACCCGACTCTTGTCAGATTTAGTTTGACTGCCATTTCTGCAACTTCAACTCTTCAGTAAAAAAATACTCGGATGAAGCTCCAACATTGGAGAAACAGCTCTCTTGTTCATTTCTAAAGCAACAAAACTACGATCTACTCATCGTAGACTTCGGTTTGCAGCTAAGCTTCTTGTTTCACCATGCTCACCTGTAGACATCGTGTTTCTCCGTGTACAGATTCTTCTTGATGGATTCCGGTGATCGCCAGCGATCTGTACCAACTCCACACGTCATTCCAATACGTGACGTCGTGCCCTCCGCTGCTCTTGTAGCTCTGTCGTCATCAGTGCGATCCACATCAGATGTGACACTGGCAGCACCCAATAATGGGGTTGTTAGTTGATCAGCCTGAGGGTGGGTTGGATTTGATACTGTGCGCGTCGAATGATCTGTTGCCTGCTTACCTCCTGTTTTCCTCTCATTTGGCTTAATGCCATCGGGATGAAGGATGGCTAGGAATCGTGCTGTTTCCATGTCGGCGATCTTCACCACCCATTTGTCACTGACCAGCATATTGGCTGACTTGATGTCACGGTGGATCATGGGTGGATCTCTGTTATGCAGATACTTGACACCTCTTGCAGCATCCAGGGAGAATCGCAGGCGATCTGCATGTTCAACATTGTTGGACGGATCATGGAGAACATCGCAGAGAGAACCTCGCATCAAGTATTCCATCACAAGAAATGGACACCTAGATTGCTTTTCCTTCCCAGCCCCCAGGAATAGAACTATATTTGGGTGGCTTAATGTTCGTAGAACTTCCGCTTCTTGGATGAAGGAATCGTACGGCGATGCAGTGGATACAAACGGTGGAAGTCGCTTAACAACAACTGCCATGTCTCCCAACTCAGCAAGTAACACTTTACAAAACCTTCCCTCGGCAAGTTGTCTCTGAATCTTCAGATCAGACCAGGCAATGCACGTGCCGTGGTTGATCTGACTGAGCTTTCTGTTGGAGCGGTAGAGGTCACGATTGGTATTGACGAGTTCAATTTCCTTTGCATACAAAGCTCTCCTCTTTCTCAGGAACTGAATGAGAGCTATGACGAGGGTGGTGATAGTGGTTGCGAAAACGAGAGAAGCCATCAAGATCAGGTACACTGCCGGTGCATTGCAGTCATCGCTGGATAAATATCCGAAACGACACACGCAGATGTGTTTGAAGTCTGCCTTGTTGACCACGCATTCTCCATGTCCATTACAACTATTGTCTTTACATGGTCCCTGAGGAACACAGTGAGATGCGGCCTCTCCGACGGTGGTTAAGGACTGGTTGCATTTGACACACTGCTGTTGAAGAGTTGCAGAGTACTTTCCGATAGGACATGGTTGACATTGGGATTTCTCGTCCCGTTCCAGACCGACAGGGCACAGATTGGAGGTATTGAGAATGAGAACTTGGGATTGCCGGTACGATTTTGGTGTATGTCCCCCAATTACCATACTGCCAAGTACAGAGTGCTCCCAGATTCTCATTTTGAAGAACTTATTCGATGTAGCTACCTCTTGAGAACCATTGCTTGTGATGGTAATAAGAAGTGCCCAATTTGCGATATCCCGCATCTTGCCAAGAGTTTGTATACCTCCAAGCAGGATCAGGTCATTGTTAACGAATGACAGGCTGTGGCCAAACCGGTTTGGTATCTCAGGAGTTATCGGTACATCATGAACGGTTATGTCGACTGTTGAGCGGATGTCAACAAGTACCAGTTTGGAATCCGATGGCATCCCTCCACCAAACAGCAAGACTCCCCGATCAGTTGGTGTGGCTGAATGACCATGCTGGATAGGTAGATGTCCTTTCTTAACGTAGCCGGTGAGGTTATGCCATCGACCTTTGCACTGGTCTTCATCTTCCATGATGAACATCCACAAATCTCCAAGGGAACGGTTCATGTATTTACGGCCCTTTCCACCGTGAATCACCATTGCAGATCTATTATGTCTGAACGATACATGTTGTCTCCGTGGGGAAGGTACGATCCCAGATGTGATGTTCGCCTCCACCCAAAAGTGTTTGTTTGTATTGAAGCACCACGGATTTGGGTCATCTTTAGGTAGAGGGCAACCCCCATACAATATGGCTGTTTTATTGGTCCCCAAGGTAACGGTGTGATCCTGGCGAATAGGGCAGTCTGGTCCCGGCGACGGGTAGAGAAGGGTGTAGAAGAGACTCACATAATAGGGGGGTTTTCCACGTTTATAGTTCAGTATCCACACAGGCATTGTAAACCTAGGACTTCGAACAAATTTGAGAAAAGTGTGACTGTCTACGGTCTCTCCTGGCGAACTGGTGGTAGCCCCGAAGTACAGTGCTGTTTGTGTGTCTTTGGTCCGTGGTGCAAGAAGAATGCCAGCTGCATATTGTCTGATGTACAAACTGACACCAGAAAATGATCCGGTATTGGTCATCATCTGTGTCTCCAGGCGATAACTCGATCCCGCTCTTCCATCTCTTCCGCGATATGCAATGGCTCTAATCACATGTTTACCGGCCGTTGTTAACATGAAGAATAATGTCTGTCCGAAAATGATGTCAATCGATCTGAAACGCGAGGGATTATCATCTCTCACTAAATTTTCACAGTTCGCCGGGGATTCTTGAACATTGCAAATGATGAGAACGCCTCTAGATTGTGTCATGATTGAATTTAAAATCAGGGTCTTCTGAAAGGCTATATACGCTGCATCAAACGATGAATGGAGTAGATTCATGGGGCCTTGAAAGGTATTTTTCACCTCCATCCATGTCAGTGATAAGGTGTTGAATTTCCACATATCCAAAGTGACCGTATCCTCGAATCCGTCAAGCACTTTCCACCCACCTACAAACAACAGAATTCCATCATCATCAACGAAAAGTCTGGCAGACTGGCGAGGGTGGGGAGTCACCATATCGCTTGGTTGAATAACCTGCCAATGTCCGACATCATGGTCTTGAACATGGAGACGAGATAGAACATTGCTTGGGGTATTACGGCACCTGCGATCATTGTTACTTCGAAGACAACCTCCAAATGAAAAGAGGAAGAACGACGAATTTGAGGCATTTGCTGCATACGTCCTCGAGGCAGCTGGAATGGCGACGAGAGAAGACCCGGTTTCACGGACCTGTGGACTCTCACTCCTTCCTTGCGCCTTGATAACTCTGGTTTGCCTGTTGCCATAAAGCAACACTAATTTGCTACATTCGCCAGGGCCAAAACCGTGTAGGATGACCTGATGCTTGCAAGGAGATACAGTCGCGCTTGGCGAAGTTTTGAAACAGCAGCATTCCTCACCCAGTGTCACGTTCAAGTCAATCTCATGCTCAAACACCTGCCAAGTTTGACCTCCGATGTAGCTTGTATCACACACGGCAACGTTGAAATAGGCAGTTTCATGATCTATTAGCTTATAGATGATCAAAAGGTGTGGTGTGAACTTACTTCGATCATTCTCCCTGAACATGACCACCTCCCTGACGAGCACTCTGGACATGTATCGGTAAGTATAACGACTTCGAGATAATTCTCCGGATATAGCATGTGGATTTTTAGGATATACAGGGACTGTTATCAGTGGTCCATTGCTGCTTCCATTGACATACCTAGCCCGATCCAGGAATTCAAATAAACAAAGCACCCACAAGATGGATGTTAGAATCTGCCAACACGAAGCCATTGCCGTCGACACAGTCCAGCATGCAACCGATTTCGGTGATGCAATGAATGTTGTGTCGAGAGAAGCCACACGTCAAATAGTCACGATGCAACCACGTATTTTACACACAACTTTTGAAAGTACTGCAAAGAAACCTATAGTGGAACTTTGTGATCTTCTCTGGCTTTCTGACAGCGGCAAACCACATTACACAGTTTTACTCAATCTCCCGATATCCAGCTCTTTCCAGCTTGTTAGATATCATCAACTGAGCTCAGAGTTGCAAGTCGAGCCAGTTATACTCCTTAGCACGACCAAGCTCTCGCAAAGATCGTACTTTGTCGCTGAACGTCAGGAGTGTCAGCATCGTTGTGCTAGCAGTATCCTAACACTAGGATAGTTAGGGTTCGTGTATCAGGATTCAGGAGACACAAGATGTCAATACATGTTCACGAGAAACTTGTCGCTGCATGTGCATAATATAATAATCGGAAGAGGTTGCATGCTATGTTAATACCAATCATACACACGGGCCACACACTTGGTGCGCCAATTGTTTTAACTAACAGTAGCCAGACGTTCCGCTTCTGTTCCTTGATCCGAAGAACTGCTGATGAGACAAGTAATGGATGGCTCCCGCGTGCAGGAAGTACTTAGTATGTGCATGAAGTGTGCAAGAACAGTCGGAAGTGTGGGTTCCACCTGCCTCCGGTAGTGTCACAGGAGCATACACTTCAGCATAATGATATGCAGATTGCTTTGAACAGGGTCCGCTGGGATGACAGCTGCACCATAGGTGGGTGCTAAAGCATCTCTGGCCATAAGCCAAGCCTTCCTGGTGCCTGTCCTTGTGGTATTGTATTGTATTGTATTGTATTGTATTTTGTTGTGTTGCGTTGTGTTGTATTGTTCTGTATTTATTTCGAGTGGGAACCAGAGCAGGCAAATTGCCTACATGTAATGACAATGGCACCACAATGGAAACGCGAATGAAGAGGAGGTGAACAAAAAACAGAACACTTCAAGTACAAGAGATAAAAGGAACTCCAAAAGATCGGCATGGCGGAAGGAAATGGCTAAGTGGTGACAGCAGTTCTGGTTCAGTCTGCACTGCAAGCAACAACAAGAACAGTTGCGGCAATCATACAAGATACTTAAGTAATATGATACTCTGGAGAATGAGGTTGAAGACTTATATGATACGATACTAATAGATACTGGCTAGGGCACGAGGGGAACTGGATTGCCGCCAGTAGTCGGCAATTTCTAAAAGGGTCTTCAGCATGGTGAGGCATCGTGTTTCAGCAGGAAGTACGTTCCGAGGAACACACCGTTGAAGCTCACTGTGTGTGCACTGATGCCTGAGCGGCGACGGGGTAACTTTAGGAGGTTGGATTGGCCCTACCTCGCGTCTGATTGGCCAAAGGCAAGAATAGATCGGTGAGCAGCGGAGAATAATGTCATTTCACACACACACACACACACACACACACACACACACACACACACACACACACACACACACACACACACACACACACACACACACACACACACACACACACACACACACACACACACACACACACACACACACACACAACACACACACACACACACACACAGCGCCGGACAATGGAGAGTCTCTTAGTATTTGTGCACATAAGCGGTTCGAGTCCAAGCAGAGACAACAAAGGGGTGGTAGGTGTGCGGAAAGAAACATTAAATACTCGTACAGCACGCTTGAGAAGCTCTTAAAGACGGTGACGATGATGGGCCACTAAGCCAAGGGCAAAACAATTTGAGGCATACATGAAAACAGGTAAAACAAGAGCAGTCAGGTACAGGACACGGCATCGGAGAGGCGAGCAGTTTCTCTTACAATACGAAATAGCAATTTAACGAGCAGCTTTTCGAGCAATTGAGTCCATCATGCTCGACCACTGCATATCAGAGTCAATGTGTGCACTGAGATACTTGGCGGTAGCTACAACGTCAAGGGGAACAGTGGCGCATATAACATGGAGGCTGTGAATAACAGCTGCAGATAGGTTATGGGGAGAGAGCTTGAACATCTGTGCCACTGCTATAGACAAGAAGGCGCAAATCGCATGATGCTCACATTCAATTAACCATGCTCGAACTTAATGTCACCGACATAGAGTAGGAAAAGTAAAGGGCCCAACACTGAGCCTTGCGGCACACCACTTGTGCACACGGTGGGAGGGCTGGTGGCAGTGCCAATGGTAACCTTCTGCTCTCGGCTTTTGAAATAATCTGCAGGGCCGTAGCCACCACGTTTTGACTGATCCGGTCTTACATTTCAATTAAAAAAACAACAACTTTAAAATGCTATGACCAGTTCAAGGTAATTCTGCTGATTACTAAAATTACGATTTTGTCTCCGCGTCGACTATTCGCCGGTGCAATTCAAGGTATACATACATGTACATGCACTTCGAAAATTGTACATGTATGTATAGAACAGAACAACAAGGACAATGTTCTGTTCTGTATTACGCTCTGCCTCCGTCGTGTTGAGCACTGTCAGCACACTGGGCACACCCTCGGGTACATGTACTTCGAAGTATGTATACAAATTCTCGAAAACTGGACCAACCGGACCGGTGGCTACGCCCCTGCTGTGTCATACATAGTTTTATAATAGTACTATGCTGTTGCAGTATTTTGCTCTTTCATGGAGCCAGAAAAGGCTCGATGTGGGCTGTGCTAAAATGCCTGGCGCGTAGAATATCGGACATACCACGCCCATGACACGCACCAGCTATCTGCGCATTTTGTCTGGTCCTGGTTTTTACAACTTGATGAGGCGGCAGACACATTACACCACTACACTGTGCTTGTTTTCCGGGTGTTTTGTGCAATAGGGAATACACCACTGCACTATGCTTGTCTACTGGGTGAGCACAGCATTATCAAGGTGTTGCTGAAGGCCGGTGCGGACTACAGCAAGAAGAACTGCTTGGTAAGGCAACCGGCCTAATTCTGGCAAACCCTACGGACATTCAACCTCACAAATCTCACAAATCTCACAAATCTCACAAATCGGATGTTGATCAGTCCACAGTACAGTACTGTTGGTCGCCGAAGAACTGGCGCTCAGCCTCCTAGCCTAGACCGTTCCTATTTTCATGTACTACAGTCTATGCACAGTTGAGTCACTGTGTATACATTTGTATGCTGTGCTTGGTGAAATTCTAGCCTGGCCGTTCTTCGGTGCCCCGTTCTTCGGTGCCCCGTTCCTCGGTGCCCCATTCTTCGGTGTCCCGTTCTTCGGCGCTCCGTTCTTCGGCGCCCGACAGTACTGCAGTCTGATTCCAGTATCTTTTACGACCTTCACTGACGAGATCTGAATGACCGACACAGCTGTGTGGAGGACTAATTATTTAAGTCAACATCTACATTGTACATGTACAGCAACTTGGAATCGTGTTGCTGGTGTGTGGTGGAAAATGAGGTCATGGCCAGAGAGCGCATCTGGTGGAGTTTTGAACAAAATCAACAATTCATTGCGTTTCTATTCCTGATGAATTTTTGTTGCCCCATTTTATGTGTATGGGGGTGTGTTTGTTGGGGAATTCCGAAACAGGGAAGCACCCCATTGCATCTATCTGTGGCATCTGGCTCAGACAAAGCTGTCCAGACATTCTTGAAGGAGGTAAGATCATCAACTTTGGTTTCAAGCTGTAAGAGCTGATGTGTTTGGCTGTTAAGCTACCGTAAGTTGAGTGGAATGAACTGGACTTACACTTCTCCCCTCCCGGTGCCAGGCCCCTCTCTACCACCGGCTGTAATTCTTTGGCGATTTTGTTGGTCCTTGCAGCTTGATATTATGTTGCTACTGCCTTACAGAATTGAACGCGGTTTCAAAAACTTCAGAATTTTTCCCCAGTCCAATGGTCTGCTTCTGCTGTAGGATATGATCATCATTATGGTGGTTATTTGTTTCTATATTCAGAAGTAAGGGTAAGGCTTCTTGCAGTTTCATTTAGAAGAAATGCATTTGAGCTGGCAAGCTCGTTCCCATCACTCCGCGAGACATCATTATGTGAACAGATCAATGTCCACATGGCATGGGTTACAGTCAGACCTCGCTTATCCGGTCCTCTTTTATCCGGATCCCTCGCCATCCGGAAGAAAATAGTTGGTTACAGATTTACAGCATACTTGATGCGTCCAACATAACCGGTATTCGGATATCCGGTTCCCTCGCCTATCCGGATATTACGTGGAAAATGGATGTGTGCGGTTATGCGAGGTCTGACTGTACCGATGCTTGATTGCATTCAGGTGATCTGAGGATGAGGCTGTGGATGTGTGAACTGTTTCTCTTGTTTGTTTCACTTATTAGCAGTGGTGAGGCTTCCTGCAGCTTCATGCATAGGAAAAAAGGTTTCAGAGCAGACCCGCTCTCTTCCCATTCACTCTGCAAACTCGAACTCGTTTCTCAATCAATTATTACAACGTTTCTGCACAATTGCCCTCGTCAGGTATGCAATGGTGTGCAAGTTTTGCGAAGGAGCAGTTGGGAGGAGTTTGAGTTTGCAGAGTGAAGGGGAAGAGAATGGGTGTGCTCTGAAACCTTTTTTCCTATGTTTCTCTTATGTTATACTTACTCCTATGTTGCACGGTGTGTGTGCTATCACTACCTGTATAATTCGTATACAGGCAAAGGGCGAGATGCTGGACGTCGATGCTATGACCTCGCATGGCTACTCACCACTGGCACTGGCTGTATATGCTGATCATGCTAGCATTGTCAGCACACTGCTCAAGGCCAAGGCCAGCACAGTGCAGGCCAGCACGGCCGTTCACGGTTACTCTGCTGTGCACTACTCCCTGCACACGATGGTGAGTCGCAACCACACCGCCAACACTCGTACAGCGTAGCCGGGGGTGGGGGGAGGAGAATGATCCCCCTTCTGCCGGTTCATCTAGCCTTGGAAATCTGAAAACAATCCTATTGGAGACATGTGCATGATGTCATGGGACTGCTTGTCCAGTGCTGATGCTGGTATGATGAGGCACTGCCTGATAATTCGAACAGTGTACGCCAGAGCTGGTATTCAAGCATATACTCATACCTTGGTTATCCAGACCCCGGAGTTACGGGCACTTCCGTCTACCGGGCACCTTTTGGGCAAGTTTCAGTGGAAATATTACTACTCTTTTGTCACTTTTTGTGGAAATAGTGACGTCATATGCCATATCTGTGGCCGTTCCCCATCAAAGTGTATGTAATTCGGAGTTAGGACTATTTCAAAGTTACGGGCATTGTCCGGTCCCGGACCGCCCGAATGGACCAAGGCATGAGCATATTTAACATGTACAGCACAGGCCTACAGTGCAGTACCTAGTATAATGATAGCAGAATTGTAAACAATCCTTTGCAGATGGGGTATTGTGGGAGCAGGGGTGTCGAAACCAGTGCGGCAGGTGCGGCCAAAGCCGTGCCAATAATTTCCCCTGAGGAGGCACTGTTATGTGAACAGGTCAACGTCCACATGGCATGTGTTACTACTGATTGATTGCATCCAGCAGGTGATCTCTGGATGATGCTGTCAATGTCTATGCACTGTTTCTCTTGTTCAGTCTAAGAAAGCCTTGAAGGGCATGCTGGACATCGCTGGCTGCGCCAATGCGAAGACGGCGGCCGGCCTTACAGCCCTTCACCTGGCCTGTGCTACGGTATGTGTGTGTGTAACTGGATAGGGTTGTTGGATAAGCTCAATATAATAGTGAAGACTTGTGGTAACGTAATCTCGGGGGTGTAGCAGCCGGTCCGGCCACCCGGCTTTGGCCGGACCACTTTTTCGCCCAGAAGTGCTCAGAATGCAGGATTTTGCACCCTAATTTCAAAAAATTCCCGGGGGATATCCCCCGCACCCCCTCCGACCGGACTACCTTCAACAACGGTGCTATGCGCCTGGATCCCTGTAATAGGAGGCCACCTGTTATAGAGTTTGTCACATCAGATCCCTCACTTTATCAACATACTTCAGTACATGTGACCTATGTAGAAAGACCACCTGTGACCTATGATCACTAAGTGACCTGTGTAGAATGACCACTCGTGACCTGTGATCACTATGTGACCTGTGTAGAAAGACCACCTGTGACCTGTGACCACTATGTGACCTGTGTAGAAAGACCACCTGTGACCTGTCACCACTTTATCAACATACTTGTGACCTGTGTAGAAAGACCACCTGCCTTATAGAGTCCGGTCATCCAGGGTCCCTCACTGTAGAGGAGCAAAAGTATTGAAAAAAAGTATTGAAAAATTGACTCTCTAGCCGACCATGTTTTTGTGTCTGTGTTGGCACCCTGCAGGGTAACATCAATCATGCCGAGCTGCTTTTGAAGAAAGGAGCTAAGGCAGACGCGAAGGATAACCTCGGCTGTACGCCATTTCACTGGGCTGCACTGTGCGGACAGGTAAGGTTCAGCACCCGAGTCACTTAATCAGGACCGGCGAAAGCAGTGCGTGTTGATTGGTGTGGCCGTTCTAAAGCCTTTCATACGGTTTGTGAATAATATTTGGCGATGCATCTGCTTGAATTCGTTTGGAAGCGTCGTGAAACACAGTCGAACCTTTCATTAATGGACGCCCTTGAAATCAGACATCTGCCCTGTACAAGGAAGTGTTTTGCATACAAACAGCTGACTGTATTGACTGCATTGGGAACAGTTAGGGTAAATCGATTGTGCTGTCGATGTGGAAGTGACAGTATTGGCAATGTACAGGATGTTCAACTATGATGGCAATCTCTCTTCACAACAGTGGCAATTTGATACGTGTACCGTAAAACCTGGTTTAAGCGACCACCCCCCCCCCCCCAAGGTGCAAGCAAAAGCGGTCGTTAAAGCCAGGTGGTCTTTAGAACCAGGTCCCACAGTATCTGTGTAGAACTGTCCGTGCATGGAAAAACGGTCGTCAAGAGCAGGTGGTCGCTAAACCCAGAGGTCGCTTACACCAGCTTTTACTGTACATGATGTTCTCCTGTGATGGCAATCTCTCTTCGCAACGGTGGCAATTTGATACGTGTATTCACAAACAAATCTTGTCTCTGATCATATGATTATCTGGTGTGATCTACTCTGTCGCGGACATTGCGTAGATGCCCATTCTCGCGTTCCTACTTGACTGGAAGAAAGGTTCGCTGCGTCTTGGGGCAGCGTTGAAGGATGCGAACGGTACAGGCATTGTGTGCTATGCGGCCTTGCAGGGACACCTTGCCGTGACCCGTTTCCTTCTCAGCCGGGTAAGTTGTTCTGTGGCGCTCCGTGTACATATCTGCGTCTGCATATCCACCGTGACGGCACCACAGCACAGCATGAATTTAGCCTTGACTTACCGCATCCCTGAGTATAAGTCGCACCTATTTGTTCTAAACGTCAGGGGCAAAGAAGGTGATGCGACTTACAATCGAGTGTGACTTCTTACTTACGTGAACATATTGAAACAGTATGGCTCAGACCTGAAAGTGAGGGTGCGACTTACAATCGAGAGCAACTTATCGGGCAAGTACTGTAAGCAGCATAGAAAGTAACATGCTTGTGTAATTCTCTACTCTGCCATTGTTCAGGGGTTCTCTGCTGAGGAAAGTGATAACTGCGGTCGTCTTGCTACCCACTACGGTTCGGTGGGTCCAGCGGCAGAGAAAGTTCTCAAGGAGCTTCTGAATACCAACCCTGATCTTGTCAAAGCGGTGGATAATGAGGTAACGCAAGGTGTAAACTTTATTGGGCGTATAATTATGTGCATTCAGTCTGTAGCATGCCCGTGTGTGTACATGTGTGTGTGTGTGTGTGTGTGTGTGTGTATGTGTGTGTGTGTGTGTGTGTGTGTGTGTGTGTGTGTGTGTGTGTGTGTGTGTGTGTGTGTGTGTTTGCGTGCGCGTCCGCCACGTGACGTGTGTTTGCACATGTGTGCGTGTGCTTATGTGTGTCTGTCTGTGTACACGTGTGTGCGCATGTGTACATGCCTGTATGCATACATTTTGACTTTATATTCTTTAAAAGAATACAGTAAAGCCTTGTGCCGTGCCTTGTCTACATATTTCAGAGAATTTAACAGGCCTCTAGATGAGAACATTTTCTTCTATACTGATACAAGACAACCGTCATGGCATCACGCAGTATGTCTCCACAGAAACTAGACGTATGTGCACATTGCCCATACTGAAAATCAGGTCTGCATTGAAGACCGGCTTCTGTACGAGACAGGTGTTAGAAGACAAAGACAACACGGTTTCAGGTGGTTTGTGCGTCTTCCGTTCTTGCAAAATACCTCGCCAAAGGCCAGATAGTCACGCGTTTTCACACGTCTTATTTGAGTGATTCTGTGGTCCAATACCATGCAGGCTGTATTGTATTGGTGTAGAAGAATGGTCTCATTCCTGGCTGCACGGGAGAGTTTATTTGTTATTATTGTCCTGTGTTGTGTGGAAATGTCTGCTTAGGGTAACAATGTACTTCACCAGGCTGCAATGACAGGCTCTCTCAGCTTGGTACAATGGCTAGTCACCAACTATTCCCAACTAGAGGTGAGAGAGAGAGAGAGAGAGACGTTGCTGGGTTAGTTGCTTAGCATTCTTATATTAGTGCAAAGGATACTGATACAAATCGTTGCGTTTTATCATATTGTGACTCCAGTCCCTTATTTCCACTGACGACTCAGAAGGAACTAGAGAATCGATTCTGGAAATGAGAACATCTAAACCGTTTTACAAGTTGTCATGTGTGTGGTGAAGTCTGCGGTCGCATGATTCGTACTTTTATACCTCTGATTAAATTGTTGTCTCCACGAAGATAATAAAATTTTGATACTGATACTGGTAAACTTACTATGAATGCTGTGTGTGTGATCGCAAGCACCGAGTCAGGCTGAAACACCAGAGTGGTTGTACATGAACCAAAGGTACAGTGGTGGCAAGTTGGCATCTGAAATCCAACCCCTGATTTCGTACTAGAGCGCAGCACCGATTCTAGCCGTCTCTATTTTCGTAGAGTTGCAAGCGCGTGCTGGTTTTCAGCAATGTGAGTGCACCGAGCTGGGGGTCGGATTTCACTTGCCACCACCGTCGGTCTCACACGCCATGATTGACTTGGGCCCTAATAGAACTGATGACATGTTCACACTCTGAAGATTAAACAAAGAAAGAGTGTATCATGCAGTTGTTCATGCTTCCTTCTTTTTAGGTGAACTCCCAGACCAAGGACCTGTGTTCTTGCCTGTGGCTGGCAGCTGCCAATGGTCACAGCGAGTGCATTGAGTGGCTTGCCGCGCATGGCGCTGATGTCCATCTGGCCAATAGGGGAAAGCTGTGAGTAGTAGTACATTGACGCATTTTTTCAATTGCAACAAATCCATGAATTGCTCTCCAAAAGCAGCGCACCAGGATGTTATGCCCACGGATGTTGTCTGCTTTTGTATACCAGTGCTGACACAATCTTTCTCCCCAAACCAGAAAAAGTCAGGATGTATAAAACATCCAGCTACATACATGTACTTATACTGGGACATAACATAACACCAACACAAGGCCATGTACCAAATCACATACCCATAATGCCGCGTATGAAGACTGGGCTTTTCCTGTGAAAGCTGATATCAGGGCTAGGTTTATAATCAAGTTTTTTCGTGCATGTCAAGTCAACATAACCAGGCTTGTGTGCTGGTGGAGAATCTGGAAAACCAGGCTTGTATTCCAATAGGCTTCTGTATGAGACCTGCTTTTCACACAAGCCAATACGGTGATATCCAGCTACACAGTACACTGTCCAACAAGTTGTTGCTGTAAGCCTGGTCATGGCCACTATGCACCCCACCGCTGTCAGATGTTATGCTTCAGCACAATACCAACACCATTGAAGTGAAACACTGATGCTCTTTTCTTACAGCACGCCACTGCATGCTGCATCGCAGAATGGCCATCCAGCTGCCGTGGAAGTATTGCTAACGTGCGGTGCGGAGGCTAACCAATCAGACGTCCAGGGTCGATTGTAAGTTAGGAGCGTGTGTGGTGGGAGACTGGATGAATATCCTTTTGCAACAGCTTGAGGGTGTACGCGTCGTGTAGGAAGTCTTAAGAGCAAAGATCTCAGGGGAACAGAGTGGAGAATCGCACTGTCCACTGTAAAGAGGACTAGCTCCAGATCGTCTGTGGCTTTGTTGCACATGCACCGCACTGTTATCACTACTGCACCAGCATTGCTCCGTTGCCAATACATTGCCCCATGCATGTGTATAATTGCGGCCTGTGAAGTCGGCAAAAACAAACGTGTAGAACGGAAGCAATATTGGTAGCATTCAAGATGATGCTGGATCGACATAGGGCACGTGTAATGGAACGCCAGGTGATGCAAGTTTGCAGTTTCACCGATTTTACAGGTAGCAACTGTGTCACTGGTATCTTGAAGACAAATACTGTACTTGCTTTTCTTCCGTTTCAGACCAATCCACCTTGCTGCGAGGAACGGACACTTGTCGGTACTAAGTATGTTAATCAGGTCAGTCATAGCCTACAATCAAGCTATTTGTCCATATGTTCCATTGCCTCTAATTTTCCAGTACTTCACTCGATAAGAAAGCATGAAACTTGGTTTGTGAAATTCTTGAATCCTGATAATGGTGGTAAAGAGCTTGTAATTTTTTTAGTTTCATCGCCAGTGTCCTTAGTTAGCCGTGAGGAGGGCTGCTTGTATAAAAGTACTACAGTCAATTACAGTCAAAGGCTTTGCTAATAAAGACTGCGGATATAACGACAATTCGTGAACAACGACAGAATTTCCATGCCCAGAGCAAAGTCCATTCTACCTGTATACATATTCTGAGACTTCGCGAATAAGGACACTTTTCTGATGCCTGGCCGAGTGTTGTTATACGCAAAGTTGACTGTACTGGGTGTAACCATAACTAGTTCATGGGAGATCCATGGTGTGAGTCTGGTCTTTGACTAACGGCTATAACAGTTTGTGATCAGGGTGTTTTGCCCAAGACTGACTACGGCTTGTGAAGTTGTGGCAGTTGTTCTGCATCTCTACGCTTCTCCTGATACACGTGTGTGCAGTAAGGTGGCATCAGTGGACACTAGCTGCGAGCATGGCCGCACAGCTCTGTCCTACGCCGCCGAGCATGGCCATACGATTGTATGCCAGCTGCTGATCGACAATGGCGCTGCTGTCAATCAGTGTGATTCCACCTCAGAGAAGTAGGTCCTCTCCTCTGTATGCATGTACAGTTGCGCTCCGTGAAATCTGACCGGAAATGCAAAACGTTCGCTCGGGGCCAGTTCCGATAACATCACTGCATTCGTAATGTGTACGTCAAGCCGCATCCCTACCACGTCAAGGGCAAGTTGAGGGTGCCAAGTATGCATTTTAGGTCGGATTTCACCGAGGGCAACTATACAAGCAATGTCTAGAAAATTTCTATATTTCAATATTTAATATTTAATATTTAATATTGAGACTGTCAACAGTATAGTACTCATGAGTGTCGAAAACAACAGCTGTGAGGCCACCTTTTGTTAGACCCCTATGCAACTGGGCTTCTGTACAGCAGCAGGGATCCACCCAGATACCTTTGACTTGTGCTCGAAATGCATGCATGCATTTCACCAGAGTGGGATTGATCAAGTTAGTTGATGATGACTATGTTACAGGCAAAGTAGTACCGTTATCACACATAAAGCAGAATCTGTGGAATAAACGTGTCCAAGGCACTAAATGCAGGGTTGTTCAGAAGAGGTGGACAAAACTACTCAAAATGTGACGTTGCCACAATGGACATTTTACGTGCACATAGCAAGTAGCTTGTACAGCTTTCCCTATTTTGAAGTTTTGATACTACAGTAAGCGAGTGTCTGTTTGTTTGTTTGTTTGTTTGTTTGTTTGTTGGTTGGTTGATTGGCTGGTTCATGCCATGACTGCAGGCAATCTCCGCTGGACTATGCACTTCACGGTGCACATCGTGACTGTGCCGACTACCTCACCAGCGTCGGCGCTTTCACGTGCGGCGGACGATTCCACCGGGCCGTCTCGGCGCTGCAGGCCGTCTGGAAGTTCAAAACGCTCTGCGTAAGCGAATACGAAACAAGTGCTGGGTATATGGGATGTCTTCCATTCACGATGTGGGTGGTCTCGCCTGGGGAAGGACTACGGGCCGCATGCAGTGTTGCATTCAATTGCAGTGTGCGTCAAGTATCCTATCTTGGAGCATGTCATGCATGCCCATTTTTTCTAGTAGTTAACCGAAGCTATAGTCAATTCACCATGAGATGGGGGGGGGGGGGGGGTAGTAACGGCCGTTCTCTTGGATGCTCTGTATCTCCAATGCTATTTAAATATCATACCGACAAGAAGAGGAAGGAGAAATTGTTGTAACTCTAAAATCCAGGCACAAGGAGTTGCTCATCACAGACAGCAGTAGTTGTCTGATGATTGCATATCTAGAGTCACAACAGTCCTCCTCCCACCCCTCTTATTGTTGTCATTAGCTCTGTCCCCGAGTCGGGCATCGAGCACTCCATTTGACAGCCTGAAACCGTTCTGTTCTGTTTCAATACGAATGATCATACAGATGCGCTCACGGAAATCTGACCCAAAGTGCAAAACCGAGGCCCTGGCTGGAGCAGTTCCGATTACATCACTGTGCTGGTACATGTGTATGTCCAGCCAGGCGCATTCGTACCACTTCCAGGGTGTCAAGGGCCGTGCAAGTTGAGGGCGCCATATATGCACTCTGGGTCGGATTTCACTGAGCTCTGCCAACTGTATGTATGGTGTTGCAGTGAGTGTATGTATTGTGTTGCAGTGAGTGTATGTATGGTGTTGCAGTGAGTGTATGTATTGTGTTGCAGTGAGTGTATGTATGGTGTTGCAGTGAGTGTATGTATTGTGTTGCAGTGAGTGTATGTATGGTGTTGCAGTGAGTGTATGTATTGTGTTGCAGTGAGTGTATGTATGGTGTTGCAGTGAGTGTATGTATTGTGTTGCAGTGAGTGTATGTATGGTGTTGCAGTGAGTGTATGTATTGTGTTGCAGTGAGTGTATGTATGGTGTTGCAGTGAGTGTATGTATGGTGTTGCAGTGAGTGTATGTATGGTGTTGCAGTGAGTGTATGTATGGTGTTGCAGTGAGTGTATGTATGGTGTTGCAGTGAGTGTATGTATGGTGTTGCAGTGAGTGTATGTATGGTGTTGCAGTGAGTGTATGTATGGTGTTGCAGTGAGTGTATGTATTGTGTTGCAGTGAGTGTATGTATGGTGTTGCAGTGAGTGTATGTATGGTGTTGCAGTGAGTGTATGTATGGTGTTGCAGTGAGTGTATGTATGGTGTTGCAGTGCGTGTATGTATGGTGTTGCAGTGAGTGTATGTATGGTGTTGCAGTGAGTGTATGTATGGTGTTGCAGTGAGTGTATGTATTGTGTTGCAGTGAGTGTATGTATTGTGTTGCAGTGAGTGTATGTATGGTGTTGCAGTGAGTGTATGTATGGTGTTGCAGTGAGTGTATGTATTGTGTTGCAGTGAGTGTATGTATTGTGTTGCAGTGAGTGTATGTATGGTGTTGCAGTGAGTGTATGTATGGTGTTGCAGTGAGTGTATGTATTGTGTTGCAGTGAGTGTATGTATGGTGTTGCAGTGAGTGTATGTATGGTGTTGCAGTGAGTGTATGTATTGTGTTGCAGTGAGTGTATGTATGGTGTTGCAGTGAGTGTATGTATGGTGTTGCAGTGAGTGTATGTATGGTGTTGCAGTGAGTGTATGTATTGTGTTGCAGTGAGTGTATGTATTGTGTTGCAGTGAGTGTATGTATTGTGTTGCAGTGAGTGTATGTATGGTGTTGCAGTGAGTGTATGTATGGTGTTGCAGTGAGTGTATGTATGGTGTTGCAGTGAGTGTATGTATGGTGTTGCAGTGAGTGTATGTATTGTGTTGCAGTGAGTGTATGTATGGTGTTGCAGTGAGTGTATGTATGGTGTTGCAGTGAGTGTATGTATGGTGTTGCAGTGAGTGGCGTGAACAACGTTTTCTTTACTACTACAGTAACACCTGGTTTAAGCGACCACCCCACGGTGCAAGCAAAAGCGGTCGTTAAAGCCAGGTGGTCTTTAGAACCAGGTCCCACAGTGTCCGTCTAGATCTGTCGGTGCATGGAAAAACGGTCGTTAAGAGCAGGTGGGCGCTAAACCCAGAGGTCTCTTACACCAGGTTTTACTGTACCGTTCGTTGGTGTCTGCTCACTCTTCCCTATGTGCAGCGCCAGAAGAAGATAGCCAGGGATCACGCGGCCCGGGTCTTACAGCGCGCTGCCACCGACCTCATGCTGAAACGGGACAAGAGGAAGGACGACAAGCTAGAGGTATGGGTGCCTGGTAAATTGACAGTTACATTGTATTGTGTGTGCGTGTGTGCGTGTGTGTGTGTGTGTGCGCGTGTGCGTGCGCGTGTGTGTGTGTGTGTGTGTGTGTGTGTGTGTGTGTGTGTGTGTGTGTGTGTGTGTGTGTGTTTGTGGGCGTGTGAAAGTGTGAAAGTGTGTGCAAGTGTGTGGTGGTGGGAGGGGAGGGGGGGGGGGGTGATACATCTATTCAGCATTCCCTCTGTTGTGTGTCTATTCAGCATCGTATTTTCAAAAGAAATCAGTTGTGAGCATGCGTGCCGTGTCAAGCTTGCCAGAGAACACATGCATAAACACCACCTGCTTTGTACAGGTATTGTATCTTGTGTCTGCAATGTATGCTCCACAGGCCTTGGCCTAAACGAAGGAAGTATAGTACTAACGGGTGCCGAAGAACGAACAGGCTAGAATTTCACCAAGCACAGCATACCAATGTATACACGGTGACTCAACTGCGCATAGACTGTAATACATGAAAATAAGAACGGTCTGGGCTAGGAGACTGACCCGCCAGTTCTTCGGCGACCGACAGTTCCGTATCCGTCCAAGTAGCTTTCTTGTAATGATCTACTGTTCATGGTTCTCCCCGTCTTCTTGTCGCAAACTTGCAGCTGCTTCGCCGCCAACGGGCCGCCCGCATCATTCAGGCAGCGTGGCGTGAGCATGCGGCCGAGAAGCACCGCTACGAAGCTAGCTACAAGAAGCTGAAGCACATGCTGCAAATGTGAGTGATGGCAGCACTGAGACTGAGAGGGTTCAAATTGGCGGGTTGGCATGGCGATAATAAGATCCTAAGGCTGACATGCAGCAAGTATTCATGAAACCAATGTACAAAAAGAGTTTGCTAGGAAGATCAACAGAAACTGGTTCAAGTGAATCCTGATGACGGCCCTACAAGTTGTAGATGGAGTTGATATTTGCTTCACGAAACTTAAGTTAAGTTGACAGCAAACTGAGCAAAGAACCTTAGAATGTGGATTTGCGCTTGCTCATACTTAAAGGGGAAGTTAAGCCAAAAATCAAAATTTCACCAGTTGTGTAGTCTTCGGGGTGCTGAGTCGAATGGTCTTGGTCCGAGAAAGCTGAGACGATCCCTTCCTACTTGAATCCCAATCGAACTCGCGCACTTCCACCAAAACTGGGTGACTGCGCCCTACTAGATGGGGATTTGTATGCAAAATGTCACTAAAAGCGCCATTTCGTTCTTATAAAAGTACGGATGACCACGATTGGCCCATATGTTGTAGTCTTTTGGACGCTGAGTCGACTGGTTTTGGTGTGAAAAGGCTGCGATGCAGCGTTCCTCCTTTATTTCCAATCGAACATGGTTGAACAAGCGGTCACGTGCTCCTGGGTGCCCAAATCACCTGGTCACCACGCCAGCAGGCGACAACTTTCACACCAAGGTTCAACTCGAGTTCAACTCGAGTGACAGGACTGAACCCAAGAAAGGTCAAACAGGCTAGTAAGTTGTACCCTGCAGGCACGGTGACCAGGTGACTGGTGTACGCAGGAGCACGTGACCACTTGTTCAACCATGTTCGATTGGGAATAAAGGAGGAACGCTGCATCGCAGCCTTTTCGGACCGAAACCAGTCGACTCAGCGTCCAAAAGACTACAACATATGGGCCAATCGCGGTCATCCGTGCTTTTATAAGAACGAAATGGCGCTTTTAGTGACATTTTGCTGCATACAAATCCCCATCTAGTAGGGCGCAGTCACCCAGTTTCGGTGGAAGTGCGCGAGTTCGATTGGGATTCAAGTAGGAAGGGAGCGTCTCAGCTTTCTCGGACCAGCACCCAGAAGACTACAACTGGTGAAATTTTGATTCTTGCCTTAACTTCCCCTTTAAACACTAGTCTTGATGGCTGGCACATTCACCCACATCAAGTGCCTATTGGCGTAAGCCATCGTGATAATACTAGTGGTGGTGGTGAAGTGACGGCAGTGAAGATTGCATGCCTAGGTTAACACTGCTCTGGGCCGCTCGGACCCGGGCCATTCAGGCAGACGCGAAGCAATGAACGCAGGCCTTGTTGTACTTTGTGGGTTGCTAATTGTTTTGCTGATTGTTTGTGTCTGCCAGGGAAAAGCGTCAAGCCTTTCTCTCGTTGGACACCGCTTCTTCGAACCGTGACAAGCTTGCCCCATCGCCGTCCGCACTGGCACCATCTTCTCTTACAAGGTGAGATGGGAATCTACACAGAGCTCAGTTGATGCATAGCAGGATCCTATGATGGGCCGGAATTTAGCCGCTTTAGGTGCAGAGGCATTGGAAGATATTCTACACTGGTGCGACTATGAAAAGGTGGGGCTGGACACGCCCCCCTCCCCGGAAATTTTAGGGAAATTGAGCCCAAATATTGCAAGTAGCCCATAATTATGTCTTTGCTTAAAAATCACAGGATAAAATCGTTGGTGCGGCTTTGGCTTTGGCCGCACCTGCCGCACCGGTTCCGACGCCCCCGCTGAGGTGAAGTCTGTGTGTAGCTGTCACACAACAGTGCACAGGGTCACGCTGGTCTTTGAAGACAGGTTGCCTTTCAAAACAAGTTCAATTGTGCAGTATTGGTGGTTGCAGGGGGCCATGGTAGAGAGAGAGAGACAAGGTACGACGTGTGAAATGTGTGAATGGCATGCGGAATGCTGGATGAGAACTTGTTGTGCGTGTGTTTTTACAGGAAGCGTCGCCTGACTCTGGCACCTCAGCGTGTACCTCGTCTGGACAGCGAAGAGCATGCACAGCTGGTGGCCTCGCTCACTAACATGTCAGCCACCTTGCCGGCGTCTGCCATCGATGAAGTGGACGGCAAGCTAGGGTGAGTGTGGTGAGGCGGTCTCGTGGAGCCTTTGCTCAGATGTTGTCGAAGGTCTGTGCGCTTGGACTAGGTCGCTTGTCGTTCGATATGACTGTTTTGTGTTCTTGTCGGAGATGCAGGTCCTTTTCACTGCCTAAGACTGAGAGCAGCAGCAATCAATCATGGTTCATTGCTTCACTGTGTTGTAAATGGGAAATGTGTCTGCTTCATTGAACTATGAGTTTTTGGCCCGAGAGTAATACTGTAGACTGTGCAAAGTAAGGTGACTGTTATAATGAATGTTTGTGACTTTGTCATCTGATGTCATCTTTCCTCTCAGAGCTAGATCCAGCGCTGAGCAGTCATCTGAGAAGCAGGATTCGTCTTCCACCCTGGGTTCATCTGACAGGCAAGCTCCAACAGGGAGGAAAGACAAGCCTACTCCACCTGGCGTGACACCGAAGCAGCTCACAATCTCCATCAAGCCTGCAAGCAGTACCGGGCACAAAGCCGAGAAGCATGCGGCCAAGGCACTGCCACCCGTTGTGGGAAAGCGGAAAGGTAGGTGTGTGTGTGGGTGGGTGTTTGTTTGTGCATATACACGGTGTGTGTGCTTGTGTGTGTTTATGTATGTGTGTGCGTATGTGCATTTCAATGGTGTGTGTGTGTGTGGGGGGGGGGGGTTGTGTCTGACTGCATGTTCCAATGCATGTGTATGCGCTGGTGGGATACTTGACATCGTATCTACCTCTGCACATGTTCATAACTTTCCTTCAGGGCAACCTGTAGCAACCCCATCTGGCCGGTCGCGGAGATCTGGTCGACAGGAAACACGGCCGAACACACTGGACACGGTACGTACAATGTATGCATGCATGTACACTCCGCAACGGCTTGTGGATAATGACCCTCGGTGGTGCATGAGAAAAGTGCTGTTAGTCGGGAATTGTTGCTATACATGAGGTTAAGAGGATGCGTTCGTTTTAGCTACTTGGTAGAGTAGAGTAGAGTCACTCTACCGATAGAGGTAGATGGTAGAGGCAAATTTACGAACGCTGTTCTACCGGATTTAGTAGTTTACACGATGTGTACGTGAAATGTTCCTTTTTTGGATGGAGTTGTGTACAAATCCTTGACCTTGCTGGAAATCCCGTAGCTCTACCGACGTCTACCGGATCCTACCAACTGTTTCCTGGTAGAGCCGGTAGAGGAAAGTAGAATCTACCCTTTTGAGTGGAATTTTTTTCTTTCAAAAAATGAACACCTCTACCGAAAGAAGTAGTTTCTACCCAAACCTGTAGATCAAAAACGAACGCCCCCTAAGAGTGTGCAGTCACATGATCACTACAGTAGGCCTGAAGATTGTGTCGTTATTCATGAGTTGTTGCTATACCAAATATTGCTATTCATGAGGTTGACTGTACTTTGAAGTACCACCATTACATGGAGACATACTGTCCAATTTTTGGACGACATTCACATCGCTCCAATCATGTGACCGGTAGCCTAAAGACCTTGCTTGCAAACATACCCAGTGCCGCACCGTGAGTGCGCTGTTGCTGTTCACTGTTCATGCGGCTGTGTAGATTCAGCAGCTGGAACATTCCATTATGCACCGCGACGCCGAAATACAGCGGCTGCGCGAGGAGAACCAACGCCTGCTGGCAAAGGAGAAAGAAGAGGTAGGCCGGGGTAGGCACAACAGAAACCCATTGAAAGAGTAAATGTTCCAGATTGATAGCACATGGTGTGTCTGCTTGAGACTTTTGTTTAGAGAAGTATGGTGTATTTACTAAAATAAATGCAGACTGAAGTTATGTCTCTCTTGTCTCTTCTGTTTCCTCCGAGATAAGAATGCAATAATACTAAGAAGAAGGACACACTTCAGGCTCTTCAACAACATCTTGAAATCTTGAAATTTGTATGAGACAAGACTTGAAAGCATGCTCGTGAAAATGTTCAAGATCTTGTTGAAGAGCCTTAAGTGTGTGTGTGTCCTTCTGCTTAGCACTATATCTGTTCTGTGAAGTTTGTGTCGCGGTTTCTCCCATCAACACGTCATAATTGTGTGTGGCGTAAGACTGCAGGACGGCTCACCTGCATGACGGTAGTAGTGAAGTCTTTGTGGATAGAGGGATTGAGCCGGGAAAGAGTTGGTACAGTGAGTGCTGCTCGATGGAGTACCGTGCACCACCCGTACACCACACTTTGCCCACAAACAGTCCGTCAAGATCGATCACTAGTACTTTACCAACTGTACACAATACAGCTCTTTCACTGAGTCTGAGTTTGAGTTGGTGCTGCTGCTGTTGCATGGTGCATACTTGTTGGTCCTTCCATTCAGCGCATTGCCAGTACCCGACTGCCCACAGTGCGGGTCTCCGAAGCGACAAAGCAGCGCCGGATCGTCCGCCAACCGTCCGCCAGGCCACACCGGGCGGCAATGGCAGTGCTGCAGTAAGTTAAAAAAACCTTTATGTCCGTACGTACGTATGTGAACGATTGGCCAATCAGAGATGGTTTTGCAACATGTCAGCCTTTGGGATTGCTCTGACCAGAATCCTCCTTGTGTAGATGGAGCTGGAGTGAATGGATCGGCAAACTAACTATCAACCTGCCTCAGCCCTGTTCACATCTCAGACTTCTGTCATTTTCCATGATTGTTCCTGCTCTGTTTCATTGTAGAAAAGCGAAGAGTCCCGATTCGGCGATCAACACTGCAATGTATGTCAATGGCTTGGCAGGGACGGAGCAGGATTATCAACAGCGATGTGATGACCTGAAAGTCCTGCTGCAGTCGATGGAGGAATCTGGGAACCGACCGGGCAGCAGAACTTCCAACAGGCCTGTCTTGGTATGTGCTTTATCCATTGGTTATTGTGAACTGTCTTGTCAAGCGTGCAGGGTACTCCATACACTATTTTTCTTTCCTGTGAAAAAAATGTAATTATCTGGTCACAACCCCCCCCCCCCCCCCAACAAAACACTATCCTCTCTTGTACCGTAAGCTGCTGGTTTCACCATGATGTCATCCTTCCTGCATGTCACAGTGTGCTGCCGCTTGACACGCGTTCATGACTCAATCCCTGTGTGCGTTCACATGATTGTGTTGGTTTCCGCAGGTGGACTCGTTGTCGCCAAGGTCCCAGAAGGCAGAAGCCGAGCGAATGCAGGGTCTGCAGCGTGCCCTGGACGAAGCAGCCCGCCTGCGCTCCGAGACCGAACGCCTGTCGCAGAAAGTGTTCAACCGCATTGGCCAGCCACAGAGCTGATGACTGAGCGCGAGCTATTGGCCACCGATCGCCAACAAGCAACTCAAGTTGATAACCGTGACTACCATATAGCTGTGGCTGAGGGTGGGCACAGTACGCCTAATCTGTGCACATGCACCTGCACCTGCGCTCCGAGACCGAGCGCCTGTCACAGAACTTGAGGTATTCAACCGCATTGGCCTGAGCCGCAGAGCTGACTGAACGCTAACTACTACTTGCCGGCAACCGTTCGCCAACAAGCAACTCATTATAGTAGTAGCACTCAGCTACCCGGCAATGTGGCGTGGTGGTGGTGGTACCCCCGGCTGGTGGACACAGTACTTCTGTGTGCTAAGCGGTCCCACGTGCCCGGCCTGAGCGCTCTGCTAAGTCTGAGCGGCACAGTGCTCGTCGCTGCAGTACTCTGCGTACAAGAGCCTGAGGCGAGTATCAAGCTCATTCGTTGTCTCTCGCATCAGTGCTTGCTGATCATGGTCGTAGGCAACACAGCCAGCATTGCTCCCCGAGTTGTAGCGCTCTGGGGTTTCTCCGTCCGAGCGTCTCGGAGAGTCTTGAAGCCACTTGATATTCGCAACGGCAGGTTCAAGCGGCTGTTTGATTTGTACATATAATGCATCCGAAGTTGAGCTGTTGAACTGAGCCCATGTTGTTTCCACCGCTGTCATTAAAATAATGTCTGGTGCACTGTACACTGTGTATGCGTGTATTTTTTGAGATACTATGATTCGGCACATACACCACACAGTCTATATTCACGGACGGCACGGTGGCACTATCTAAAATGGTCTGTGGCTAGTCTTGCACCTACATGTACATGTACATGTAGGTGTACACTGGCCGTGCTGCGGGCCAGCTGTGAATTCTGCATGATTCCGGCTGGATCATGGCTTTGCCGCGTGACAGTCACGTTTTAGTGCAAGCACGGACTTGTGCAATGATTCGGCTTGCTTCGTGTGTATACCAGTTTGCCATGTGCACCGGCTATCCACTAGGTGCGTGTACCCGCAATCCCACATATGGATTTTTTTGCACGGTATCGTCGAGTATTGAGTACATGTACATGTGTGTTAGGTGGTTGGTTGGTTGGTTGCTTGTTTTTATTACCGTATTTCAGTTCGTTGCCTCAACAGTACAAACGGTAGAAATATCAAGAGGGACGAATGAAAGAGAAAGTAAAACAGAGCAGATAGGGAGTCTCAGTCAGAGCACACACACACACTTGAACTGCAGTCCATGCGCATGTACATTAAATTGTTGTCACCGACTTCTCTTGCTCATACTAGTCGCATGACTTGTGCATGCTGTCTGTTCCCAAATACAATTACCTGGCATTTGACGATTCCCTGGAGTCGGCTGGACCCTGCTTCCGAGTAAGGCCGCGGTCACACATGAAAAGCTTGCACCGCTTTTGCGGAGGCGGAAAGCGGAACTACCACAGCCGCTTTGGCGGACCACACGATGCAGCGGTCACACATACATGTAGACTACTGTGCTCCTCAACGCTCCGCTTTGGCGGAGAGAATGCAAATGCAGCACGTACTATGAAATTTTAGATGTTCTTGTCCGAGTTGAAGCGACCTTCGCTTGTACAAGTAGAGCTATCGTGGATCGCTGACAGGCTGCTGAATGTCTCCTGTCAAGTACACTCGTGGATTTGGGGCGCATTCACTGCGGCCCAGTACAGGTGTATTTGAATATTACTAGTTTGGTTTACATCAATATCAAATTCAAATAGTTGTATAGCAGGGTGTCGTTGCCTCCTTCTTGTCCGAGTTGAAGCGACCTTCGCTTGTACAAGTAGAGCTATCGTGGATCGCTCACAGGCTGCTGAATGTCTCCTGTCAAGTACACTCGTGGATTTGGGGCACATTCACTGCGGCCCAGCACGGGTGTATTTGAATATTAGTTTAGTTTACATCAATATCAAATTCAAATAGTTTTATAGCAGGGTGTCGTTGCCTCCTCCATGATCCATCATCGACCCAGCGACTGCGTGGATGCCTGCAGTTGCAGTGAGGGTGTGGCACAGTACTCTACTACTCCCTGGTTGCAGTCCTAGTGTTGCATACTCTGGTGGACGTATTGCTTGGAGAGTGTTGGAGATCGTCCGCGATCAGGGCCAATGAGTTGGGCGACGGATTCCCTCACCAAGTATCCACTCATAACGATGCAGTATTGTTTGCGAGATCTCCAGAACGTACAGTTCATTGGCAAAGAAGAACAATATGAAAACTGAATACCAAACGGCAACCAAACAACACCAGAACTCAGTGCAGAAGTAGCACACCAAACTCCAAAGCCATCACCATGCGGGTTCCGCCAAAGCGGTTCCGCGAAAGCGGAGGGTCCGCTCGCATTTTTTTGGCGTAGCAAAATCCAAACTTTCCGCCAAAGCGTAACTTACGCCTCCGCCGTTGCCGAGGCAACGGCGGAAGCGTAAGTTACGCTTTGGCGGAACCGCCAAAAAAAGTGCATGTGTGACCGGGGCCTAAAGCTCCCTGGCGCCATGGCTCCGAGTCGAGTCTGAGTGTGACCATGGTGACTCTGATCTGAAGCAAGGAGTAGTAAAATGTCGGTATTTTACTACTCTCTGATCTGACTAGTCGACTGTCTACGTCTGTAGACTGAGTGTGACGGTGAAGTGATCAAACGCAAAGACCCAATGACGTGATCGACTTCAATGACAAAACAAAAGTGAAAAGGTTGCTGAACTGCTGTGAATGAAAACAATTTTGAGGAATGGACTGGTACATGGTGTCCATTTGAGCACCTGAGTTGTTAGGAGTGGCATTCAATCGACTATTGCTCCATCCTCCAGCCACGGAGCTGGTACCCGTGGCTAAACCGAGTTGGGAGACATGCCGCGACCTAATGTGACAGGAATTTCTCCCAGGGAAGGCAGACCTGGCCGTCAGATCACGATTCGTGGAGAAAATCTCGGTGTGGATGGCAGCGATGTGAAGAGTGAGTTATTCGCGATCGTTACAGATAGGTTTCAGTACTGCAAGACGGTTTATTTGTGCTCCATGGGTATCCCACGAACGCTGATGGCTCATGCGGCAGAGAGATATGATTTTTTCATATCACATACAGTAACAACTTCAGTATGACGTACATGTAGGCCTGTATGGCCAATGGGCAATACAGATCGGTACGTTGTAGCCGAGGTACACGTACTGTACTATAAGTAAGATCAAGAGTACACAATACCCAAGAGCGTGCAATTCCACTGTACTGTGGGTGCTGTCCCGATAGAATTTCAAGTTGACGTCATTTTTATGATGCAATGCGCATTGTACACGTATTATCAGACATATCCTGGACCTGTGGTTGGCGAACCCCCATTTTATCCTGTGCAAACTAGTTCAAGGAAACACGTGGGATACGTTGACACCCCGTTGTAAATCACTCATGTGAAGAGCATTGCATCATAAATGATGACGTCAACTTGAAATTCTGCCAGGACAGCAGGGTATGCGGGAGTTGCACACTCTGGGGGGTTATGTGCTCTTGCTAAGGTCAAATGATGGGTAAACGTAATGCATGGTCCTCCGAAACAGCCAGGAGGGTAAGCAGCTTACGACCCGTTCCATCATTGAGTCGACACTTGGAGGCATGTTGCTGGTGTGTTGACCGAGCTCGACTGAAGAGCAATTGCGGTGGGGAGTGGGGACTCGATGTCCTCGAAAATAATACGTTTGACAACTCCCAAAATGTTACTGTTGAAGAACCTGAACAGAGGTGCGTCCTCTTTCTATGTGAAATATTACGTTCCACTTGTAAACACTTCCATTCCCCGAATAGGCTCTCAGCTGCACAACATGAATCATTGAATGAAAAAGGATTGCCAGTATTTCGCCCATTGGGCATCATCACGGCATTGATTGATACCTATGCAAAGAAAACGCTGCAGTCGAGTTGGACAGTTATTGGGAAATAGTACTTTTTATGCTTTATTCAGAGTACTTGCTACTGGAATTCCACAGTACGTGAATTGCATCGTCTAAGTGTAAAAAAGAGAGAGCAAAAACAAGTAACCAACTGCAGCTAGCGACAGTGGCAGTATTATTAGTGTTGTATGAACAGTAGTATATATACGCTTAAGAGTGTACATGTACTAATGTTTTGTATAACACGGAACAGACAGTGAATGCACGCAAAACATAGCTTCAGCTGTAGCTTTGCCAGACTCCCAAACACATACACAAAGGCATCATGTTGTGGTATGCTGCATCGTAGACCTGTATACAGCATGTGCTCTCTCTCTCTCTCTCTCTCTCTCTCTCTCTCTCTCTCTCTCTCTCTCTCTCTCTCTCTCTCTCTCTCTCTCTCTCTCTCTCTCTCTCTCTCTCTCTCTCTCTCTCTCTCTCTCTCTCTCTCTCTCTCTCTCTCTCTCTCTCTCCTCTCTCTCCTCTCTCTCTCTCTCTCTCTCTCTCTCTCTCTCTCTCTCTCTCTCTCTCTCTCTCTCTCTCTCTCTCTCTCTCTCTCTCTCTCTCTCTCTCTCTCTCTCTCTCTCTCTCTCTCTCTCTCTCTCTCTCTCTCTCTCTCTCTCTCTCTCTCTCTCTCTCTCTCTCTCTCTCTCTCTCTCTCTCTCTCTCTCTCTCTCTCTCTCTTTCTCTCTCTC